GCTTCTGTTTTCTTAGATTTGCGTTCCTCCTTCTCAATCTTACTCCATAATGTTTCCTTTTTGATCCTCTGCTCTTTCATTTTTTCTTCACGACTGCGAATTTCTTTCAACTGCGTACGGTATTGAACATACTTATCGGCTAAAGAAAGAGAGATGAATTTGAATTTAACTCTGGATCGCGGTTTAAAGTCGCTTTACTAAAACACTAACATAAAAAATAAATACCAAGAACTGATGCGGATTCGGATAACTTTGTCGTTAAAATACTCAACTTTTCTGTCACATCGCCCAAATCAACATCCTCGCTTCTTCCCCAAATAGCCATGCATTTTGAAGCTTCATTTTGTTCATATGCCAAGTTATTGATAGCATGCCACACGCTACGTTCGGAGGAAAGTAACTTGCTCAAGTGTTTGGTGTCATTATTGACTATAATAATATTCGATTAGTAAGTAATTGATATGTTAAAAACATGCAAGTTTCAAATTTAATGATGGAAAAAGGATGGTTTTTTTTTTTTTCTATTTTAATTAAAAGGTGCTTTTGATGTTTCTTGTGAAAAATTGACGAATGCACAAAATAATAGATACCGAAAGAGTTTACAGTAAGGTTACGACGAAGGTCGCTGGTAACTTCCCCTAAATTAAACTTCATAAGGTTGAGTATCTGTAAAATACCTGATAGATCGTATAATAACTTGGAAAGGATTGCGTGAAAGACTTAAGTGTGACCTTTGAATTCTATCTTTATCAATAGTTTGGCGTTGCAGATCTCAAATCACAAGAATTAAAATGTCTCATGATCCGCAGTTACTCAATACAATAAACATTGCTATAATACTTAATTTTTGATTATTAATTATTAAAGTATAATTTTAGAAACAATTTTTTATTTTATTAATATAGTTTAATAAATACTCTTTTTTTTTTTAACCCACAATCATGTCACTATGGCTTGTCTTTATAGAGAAATTAAAATAAATTTACAATAATTTATAGATTTTTACAAAATGATTAACTTGTTTTCTTACATACTATACAGTAAGTACTTTAAGTCAAATTTTGGAAACAATATTATACATCCCTGATAGATTGATAATAATCTCTATCTACCAGGATTATTGTCAACAGTTTGTTACTATTGATTGCTCAAAAATCAATAAATTGTTAAGTTAAAAAAAAAGAAAAAGAAGAAAATGACCAAGGAAAGAGAACAATTTAAGGTTTACCAAAAAAGTCCAAAAATAAAAACAATCTCTTCTCAAAAGAAATCTATCTGATTAAATAGTTTTTTTGTTTTATCTGAACCTTAGAAGAAATATTTTTTTTCACTATTTATGATATCAAATAAATTAAATCAATCAATCTTTCATTTAAGTAAGTACTGGATTAAAATATCTCAAAGAAAATATTTGAACCTCAATTTTTTTCTATTAAAACTTTGTCATCACTTGAGAAAAGAGATGGAAGTTTACAATTCACATTATCCATCACTTGATATTTTGATATTATGAAAATTTTCATTAAGAAATTTGAACTTTTGAAAACAAATATTTTTAAAACCTTCTTTTCAATCATCAATAACCTCATCAGAATATATGATTGTGATCAATAGAAGCTTATTTATATTTCAAAAACTAACATATTTCATGTTAGATAATTACTTTTGATGAGGATTTGTGTTATCCAAAATTTAGAATCAAATTGAGATAAACAAAATTCTTTAGAAAATCATGAAAGGAAAAACTTTAAGAAGATCAAAATAATTAAAAAGGAAGAAAATAAATCTTTTTACTGCAGAAAACCTTTATAAACCTTTTGTTTTAAAGGTTAAATAGGCTTTTAGATACTTCACAGTTACTTCTTCCACCTTTGAAAACTTTCTTACTATTAATATTAAAGGTATTACATGATTTTTCTTGGTCACTAAAAGTCAAGTTTTTGATAAAAAGATTTGTAAATGGTGGAGGTAACTCTTGAAATCATACTTTAAGTTGTTTTAAGAAAAATATTAAGTCTTATTAGCAAAAAAACATAAAACTTCTTGCAAATAATTTTTTTGTATGTAATCAGAAGATCGGTAAATGAGTTTTTATTTTAAATAAATATTCTTTGAATTATTAATATTATTATTTATACTATAAATTATTATTATTTTTCTAAGCTCTAATTAATATTCAAATTAAATTATTTTATTTTGTATTCAATATTATTTATTATAATTTTATTCAATTTTTATTTTTTTTTATTTTTTCTTTTGTTTTTAATATAATTTTAATCTTGTTAAAGTTATTGAATAAAATAATCTAAAACTTTATTATCTTTATAAATATTTTAAATTTATAATTTTTTTTATCTTATATTTAAATTTATTTTTAGAATTAATTACAAATTCTTTTAATTTAATATTTCTATAATCAAATTATTATTATTATTTTTAACCTATAATTAGGTTAATATAATGTATTTATTAATCATAAATAATAAAACTGCTTATGATACAAAAGACAAATATATTATGGCTAAACTAAATCTTATGTTGACTTATGTGTCATAAGCTATCAATTCTCAAATAAGTTTCAATCTTTAAGTACTATCTTGAGAACAATATTTTATTTTGGGATAAGTTCTTGATAAAGATTCTTCCAACTTACCCATCATTGTTAGCAAGTTACCACTGTTAATTATTCTTTAAGAAACTGATTTTTGAAAACTACAATAAAGAAAAGAAAAAATAAAAAAAAATATACAATTATACGTATATAAAGAAAAAAAGAAAAAAAATAAAATAAAACTACTTTATATCCGTAAAAAAACCTCTATTAAAAATCCTCTCTTATTAGAAATTAACTCTTCTGGGATATTTTTCTTTTTCTTAATTATCTGAGAAACTTGTCTATTTGTGATCTTGATTATTTTCTTGTGATCATCTGAGATACTTATTTTCTACTTAGGTCCAATGTCTTGCTTATCACTTATTTTCTTTTAGTATTGATTTTTTATTCACTTGTATAAACCTTAACAACTTATAGTAGACTCCAGATTCTTATATAACCTTTCAGTCATATTGTGTAACTAAACAGCCATGTCTAGTTAAAAAAATTTTCTAATATATATCTTCCATTATCCAAAAAATCATTTTCCAAAAATCTTTTTGCCTTACAATGGTAAAAGGGTTTTAGAAAAGCAACGGAGATTCTCATCAATTATGATATTATTACATAATATCTGGAAAAATGTATTCTCAATTCTAAAGAAAGGCAGTAACTTATAGTCTTCTACTTTTTAATCTTATTATCTGACCAGAATAAGGAAATAACTTTCTTTATATACTTAGTCTAACTGGGATAATAAGAAGTTGAAATTTCAACTTGAACAAATAACTATCTTTTCATCACCTAGAAAATTTAGTGCCTATCCTAATGGTTACCTGATTTTTTTATTTCAGTGATACTTTATTTAAAGGAGTAGAGGATTCATATTAATTGATTCTCTTTTATTTTACTATTGATATCATCAGAACATATGAGTATAACTAATGGAATCTTGGTTATATCTTGCTACCAATGTGTTTCATATCAGCCAATCAAAAGTCAAATGATTTTGTGCTAAAGATGAGTTCCTAAGGAACAAAAATCAAATGTTCCTTATTAGAAAACATTAAAAATTTTAAATTATTAACTATAAAAAAACTATTCACAATTGTTTTTCATTATCCAAATTATTGATTTATAACATTTTTTGATTTTGTTCCTATTAAAGTAAAGGGTTATAAATTTTGTTTCTCAAAAAGAAACATAAGTGATCTATTAAATTTTATATGCTAAATACTTTAGGAATCCATTATTATATTATGCTATTAGAAATTCAAAATTAAGTTAATATAAGCAAAATTTCTTAAAAAATTATGAAAAAAATATAGACACTAAGAGAGCAAGAGACAATATGTAAGAAGGTGGATAATAAACCTTTTTATATTCAAAAAACCTCTATCTCTATATCACATTCAGCTTTGAAAGGTAATACTCTACAAGTAGATTCTTATACTTCTTAGAACCTTCTTGCCTTTAATAAAGGAAATATGTACTTGAGTTTATTCAGATCATCAGAGATCCAAGTTTTTATTCAAAGAAGTTTATAAATAAGTAAGAGAGAGTAATGGTGACTTTTGAAGACAAGCTTCAAGTTGTTTTATGAAAAGTAGGAAGACTTTATTAGTCAAGAAAAATAAAAACTTTTTGCTAATATCTTTTTTATATATGGTCAAAGAATTAGCAAAAAGAGTTTAAGATTAGTTTTCTCATTTCTATAATCAAATTATTTTTTATTTACTTTAAATAAATATATAATATATTTTAATTAATTTAAAAAATTGATTTTATTAATTTAAATATTTATTTATTTATTTATTTGATATATATATATATTTTTTAAACTTATGATCAAATCAATATAGTGTATTTATTAATCTTTAAGAAAATTGATAAATATATATTGAACAATTATATCATAACTAAATTAAAATTAATATTATCTCACTTGTCAATAGTTTTCAATTCTTAAATGGGCTTTAGCCTTTAAGTATAACGTTGAAAATAATATTTTGTTCTGTAATAAATTTTGAATAAATACTTTTCTAATTTATATATTATTGTTAACAAGTTACTATTATCTATTATTCTTTAGAAACTATAATAGAAAAAAAAAGAAATAAAAGGAAAAAAATATTTAAAAATATATAAATATGAATATATAAAGAAAAAAATAAAAATAAAAGTGTTATATATTCTTCAAAAAATTTTAATTAAAAACCTTCTCTTATTATAATTATGACTTCTATTTAATATTTTTATATTATATTCAAATTACTTTATTTTAATTCAATTTACTTAATAATTATATAATATATATTTAATTTATTTATTTTTATTTTATTTTAAAACTGACTTATTCCATGTCTTCTCTAATGCTTTATTAAGAAAAGATCATATTTAACAACAATCGGGATGAATACTTATCTATATTGTCTGAGGATTTACAGATTATTAAAGAGAAATAGAATAAAGAGCTATCTATTTTATGATTCAATTTATATCTAACCTAACCAGAATAAGGAAAATACATGATCACCTAGTATAAAATACTTCTCTTTTGAAAACAAAGTGGAGGAAAAATGAGATATACAAGT